ATATATATATATATTCTTAGTGATATGCAAGTTTTAAAAATTATTATAAAAGAATCGATCGTCTTACAAAAAAAGAAGATAGTCAATCCTTCAATTTAAAAATTGTCCTTTTTACTATGGAAAAAATAGGCTCGTGAACGTCCATTTTTCTATGTTTGTTTGATCATAATATCATCCCTTAAACCTAATTATCGACATGAGTGACCATTACACGATTTCACTTTATGAACTACAATTATATAATCTTTTTGTAAGATAATCGAGTACTGAACACAATGGAAACCGGGACACGTTTTTCTGTTTTTAATTTTTGCAGTTTTTGTTTAAATTTAGTTACTTAAGAAATATGCTAAAAATATATTTTATCCTTTCCTGTTTATACAAAGTGTTTCACATAACTTGATTAACTTAAATAATTTTGAAGGTATGCGTTGTATGAAAAAATTTTTTAAATATAATTTGGAGTAATAAAATACCTATATGTACTCTTTAAAAATGTTTCGAAGATTTCAAGATTAATTTTAAATGAAATGCTATATTCTTTTGTGTCAAAATATGTAAGTGTGAAAATATGAAATTCTGAAACTTCAAAAGAAAATATTGATCTAATAATTATTTCTTGAAAACTTACTTCGTGTAACATCAAATTGAACATCAAAAATTTCCATAATTTCGTGATGAAAACTTTCTATGACTATTAAGTTCACTAAATCTAATCTAATCTACACGTCCCTAATTCTCTGTGGAAGACTATAATTAGCCAAATTAGCCTTAACAAATTTTCAAACTTGATTGTCTTAAAAGTCTGAAATAAGAAAGTGTTTTTTTTCTTTTTAATCTATTTTCAGCATATGTTTAATTGTTCCATGATTTTCAGATATGTATATAAATTACATAATATAATAAATTTAGTTGACAGATAGGACAACAGAAAATTAACCACTTTCCAAATTTCAGTAACAATTAATCTATGTATAATTGGGAATATCTTGTATTCTATGTAAGTCAATTTTATACATAATATGTATTGAATCCAATTTGTATATCAGGAATTCATACGTTATGCGTGAAAAATGGAAAATATTTTATCTAAAAATAATTTTCAGTCAAATTAATTCAAATGTTGGATATAATTTCCAGACGGATTCTGAAGCAAACCGGAAGTGGGCATTAACGTCAGCATATATATGCTATTATAACAAACAATTAAACAGTAAATTTTTTGATTCAATTACAAAATAATTTCATAGTGTCAACTTGCTTTTAAATTAATTTGCTTCGGTCTCCTCTATATACCGTAAAGATGTATCTAAAGCATCGGTATTGTCAATTACGATAAGGTACAATATCAGAGACATTACTTTTCATTCAACTTTGGTAAAACCTAATTTAATACATTCTTACCATAGCATCTCGTCTGTCAGTTCCACACACTTGACCAGTGGCGACTACCAGTTTGTTCGGGTGAATCGCTATGCTGAAATATTTTCAGAATAATATAAAATTATATGATGTAACGAATACAAAAAGATTTTAACAAATAAAACAAAATCTAAAGTTGTCGTATTAACGTATTTATGAAACAAGAAATTCTTTGATAGAAATTTTATGTTTGTACATCAAAAACAGTTTAGGCTACATCGAATTATACACAGACGTTGAATTATGTTGCTTTCTATTCCCATGAGAGAAGTATTAGGAGAAATCGAGCGAAAAATATAAATGGATGTTAGAAGAACGGTTTTTTAATTTTTATTAATTGTCGTGTAATTTTACGTCCGCAGGTAAATAATT